CTTACCAACAGTCAAATCCAAGTTGTGTCTTTCTCCCAGTGCTTTTAGCCTGTAGAGACACCCACTTTGATAGTAGTACTGAAGATACTGCACAAAGCCTGTGAGAGAAGGTGATACGTTTGCCTTCAGAATCGCTCAATATTGCGGTGTTGGTATTTTTCCCACAACAGATGTTTTACAAGGTGGTGTCTCCATGAAGAGTTTGTAACTTACTTTGATACAAACAATAGACCAGAAATTGGTTCCTGAAAGACTGGTATTTTTCACCATCTGGCCTGCATATACAACAGAAGTGTTGTTTGAGGACAATTCACTGATTCAAAACAACTGTATTGTTTTAATGCTGATCAGGGTTACTTTAGTATCACTGAGATACGTGGTTTTTTTACATTTTTTATAAGGTATTTTATTTCTGTAAAAGTTTATTTGATTTCAGGTAACAAAAAGTGCTTTAAGGTTTTTTGTTTTAATAACTCGTTCTAATAACTTGTGCTGCTGATACATTTAAAATCAACATAAAATGTGCCTATTTAAATTTAAAATACACATTCTTGCACTCCTAAATAATTTACATGTTAGCATTATTCCAAAGAAAACAACTGCAGTGTTATTTTAGTATTATTTTTATACTATTATTTTATTAAATTGGGTAATTTTAGTTTAAGTTCATCATGTGCTTTTGTCAATTTTATAAGTTTTAGTTTTTTAATATTTCTGTTTAGCTTTAATCTTTATTTTTATTTTAGTAATTTCAGTATTTCAACTTAAAAATATATTATTTTATGTTATAATTATTTATTTTAGTTTGTTGCTATTTTTATCTAATATTTATATTTTATTGTATTTCAACTTTACAAATATTAGAAATATTAAATTTTATTAAAATATTATTTTAAATAGTTTTAGTTTTGGATATAGTTCAGTTAAGAACAACAAAACGGATGTGTTGTCTTTATACTATTTAATCAAGATGTAATAACTTGCTCTTGCAATATCTGTTCTTTTCCACTGGTGTCACTTTGGTTGTATGGGCTATTGGATAGTATGGGAACGCCACTTTACATGATTCAATTGATACACACCTTACAATTTACAATCCAGTTTCATTCAATAGTACACTACACTAAAAAAAATAGCATGTGAATGACAATTTAAGTAACTGGTCTGAAATAAATAGTTTGAAATGACCCACCAGGTTAGCATGACTCCAGACAGAAAGGTGGAAATGTAGTGGTGGAAAACCCACCAGCCTTTAATCCTAAAAAAAAAAAAAAATTCAAAGATTGTACAGATGGCACAAGCCAAAAAGAGAAGGGCCTTGAGACAGCTTATTAAACCCATTACTGATCAAACATTTCTTGTGTGACAGCAGCAATGTCACATCTTCAAACCTGAAAGTCTCTTAGACAGTTTCATCTGACAGTTTCTGACCTGGATCCATTGCTGATGAGGATGCTTTCACGAATCGTCAGTGTGCAATAGTACCAAACCAACAGGAAGTTAAGAAGGGCATCCACAACTCTACAGACACACAACAAAAGACAGGCATGAAATGTGATGTGAGGGAAAGTGTGTCAGTCAGACCTGTGTGAACTCAGTCTTACCTGTAGCTGATGAAGAAGCGACAAGCGAAGGTCAGCAGGAACAAAGTCACAGTCACATACAGCTTGAACCTTTCATACTCATCCTTGTATTCAGCTCTACAATAAAAAGTTTGCAGGTATAAGATGACCTATTCAAGACTGTATTCTACAACAGCTGAAAGAAATTAATGTATGTATTTATTTAAGGTTTAAATGTGAATTAGCTAGTATTCTATTTTGTTGTAAATTCTTTGTTTAAATACATTTAATTTCGTTTTTGAGTTATAAATGTATTTATTCTTAAATTGTAAACACAAAAAAAAAATTTGCCAAATGCAAATGGTGCAAGAAAACTCCAGATATATTCTCTGAAAGCAAGCCTTAACGTCTTATGAAAAATAAATGTATCATGTATGCATAAAGTTAACATAAAGTTACAAATCTATTGATATTCAGTATTTAAGTACATTTGAAATATATTTAAAATATATCTTTTTTGGTGCTTACTTGGCCTCTTTGCTTGGAAGGTTGACATTCATACTCCCAAGGACAAGACTGAGATAAATCCTTGAAACGATAAGCAGAAATAACAAATAATATGTATCTGCAGCTTCTGAAAACAAAGCTTAGTTGAAACAACCTTTCATTTGAACAAACTTTCAGTACCCATTTTTCTTAGGAAGAAATGCTTCCATTTGAAAGATTAGGCTCGGCATATTTCGGATGTGATCTTTGGCCTCCTTAACCTCATTCTTCTCCTCTTCTGTCAGTCCTTTATTGAACCTATATGATTGGGAACGGAAATTGAACGGTAAGAGGCAACAATCATATTCAATAAAGTTTCAGCATAACAAAAATGACAAAAAAAACAAAACGTTTTGTTTACTTAATCAAAGCCTTTAAATTCTCCTTTAAATTCTTTTTCTGTCCAGCGATGGAGGCAGCAAAGCTCTTTTGAAGTTTGGAGACTTCCTCTAACTTCTGCAGGTAAAGCCGATGGGTCTCCTGGACACACAAATGCTTTATTTAGTGAAGGTCTATTGTTATATGGACATTCAGAACAAATTCAGAAAATCATTTACCTGAAGCTGCTGCAGTTCTTTCTCCTGAAACTTCCATTCTTGAAGGGCTTTTGCGAGTGCTGTCGACATGTAGAACTTTATCAGTTACAGCTATTCTAACCAGGTTCCTCTTTCTTAGATTACAAGGCAAATTCAGTCAAAAACCAACTGTGGTGGAAACACAGCAATGTCTTAAATGCTGATTTCTATGCTGTATTTAAAGAGAGCTTCGGTTTAGAAGCATTTCAATTGACAATCTTTGTCGTATATCAGATTTCTTAGCGATTGCAATATAAGCTTGAACTTTGTAGTGAACTTTGACAGACCAAATTGACTGACCTTTGATACACTTGGTTCAGTTGCTTGCAATATATAGGAAGGGCGACATATTTAGAGCCACATAGTGAATTCTGATCTATGGAGAGAGAAAAAAAGTTGAATTGTGCTGATTACAGACATTATATTGCATATCTAAATAGGTTATTACTTTAGAGAACAGAGTCATTCATGCTGAAGTCTCATGCCTTGGTTGCATAACACAATAATCCCTCATAAATTCCATTGATGTAAAAGAACACTTGAACGGCTGAAAAAATGAGATCTTGAACTTTAGTCGATAGATAACACCTGTCACCTTACATCATACCAGCATTCAAGTGAAATATAGAGAATTTTGTTTTAACATCTTTAACCGAGTATCATTTCCATTTCACTGTCATTTCAATTCATTTGGTGTCCCATTAATTTATTTAGCTTTTAAAACATTAGAGACAAATGAGATACCTATTAGATGTCACATAAAATGTTAAATTATATCACAAAAACTAACATTAGTTTTTTTGTTTTTAATTATTACATTTACTGACAATTTTGATGTTTTATATTTAATGCTAGAAAATTACAAAACCACACAAATAAGGGTATTTTATTTAGACATTGTAGACATTTGATGACAGACACATACCAGCTTGGTTAGTTTATTCAACAACTGCGCTCTCTTCAACATGGGACTCGCTGACGTCACTTCCTCGGAAGTCCGTGACTTAAAGAAACATTCCACACAACTCTACAGACATGAAAAGATTAAACAACATTTTTAAAAATTCACCGAATAATAAAAATGGTCATCATTTACTCTCCCTCAAGATGTTATGAATGAGTTTCCTGTTGAACACAAAAGAAAAATGTTTGAAGATTGTTTGTAAGCAAACAGTTGACGGTAGCCATCAACTTCCATAGTATTTTTTTTCCATATTTACATAATACTTTTCTTCCATTCATAAGTCAATGGCTACCATCAACTGTTTGCTTACAAACAATCTTCAAAATATCTTCTTTTGAGTTCAACAGAATAAAGAACCAGGTTTGAAACAACTTGAGTGTCAGTAGGCCTAAATAATGCCAGAATTTTCATTTTTGGGTGAACTATCCCTTTAATTTTCTTTCACTGACCCTTTGTTGTAAAGGAAACCGTTTGTTTAAAGCGGAATGGATCTGACACGAAGAACTTTATTTGTCCATGAGCATCCACTTGCGTTTACTCGCGTCATCAGACGCTTGTAGTGCGCATGCGCGTTCCTGCGACTGTAGTATTATTACTGACTCGACTGCGCAGGGGGGTGGCCTGTCAAGAGATACTGGACTGCAAGCCCATGGGTGGGTTAACAGAGAACTGCATGACGGTGCAAATAAAGAAGGATCTAATCCGACTGACACTACATGCTCTGCCTTAAAGCTTCACTCTGCTTTCTTCTGATCGCTGTTCAAGCGCGGCAGCGGCAGCTGGCCAGCGGTGCTGGATGATACCGGCCGGTGCGTTGACTTCTGCAGAGGCTGTCGCGTTTCACGTCACTTTTCAATGAACTGTAGTTATACAAGTAGCTTTACAGGACTGACTTGCTTGTCCGACTGATAAAAGTAAAAATGAGCGCCGCTGTTTATGTTTTATCTACGGTTACCGGATATGTGCTCACCTCGGCGTTACTGCTCAAGTGGCCGTCTCTGCTGCATCGGCGAAAGAAAGAAGCCTTCCGGAGCAGACACATCTCACACCGCGGCGGTGAGTGACAAGTGACTGACTTGTCGCTGCTTTATCAAGTCTACAGCTGTCCGAGGCTTTTCATCGTTTATCCATTCACTCTTTTTCCTTGTATTCCAATAAGACCTAGTGAGCTGTGATGTACAAAATGCTCACTTGGTAGGAAGCTCACTAGGTTTTGAGACACAGTCAGTGAATGAATCTTACAGGGTTACATTCATAACATTGCTGACTGTAGCCTTATAGTCATGCACTTAGAACATTTTTGTCTTGTCTATGTAATGGAAAGCCTGTTTTTATCTTTAAGTCATATCTCATGGTACCTTCATGTTGGGCCAGTGTTGGTTCAGAGTATTTTTTTTTAAATAATTTTATAGTGTATTTGAATCCTGGAAACAAAGTAGTAGTATGAAAATAAATACAGTAAATAAATTATATGTAAATGTCATAATGCAAAATGAATAAGAAAAAACTTTTTCTGATCCATTTTTTTGTCACAAATCAAATGAAAGTAAATTTGTAACGTTGATCATGTGAACTCCTTTGTACAGATGGCCCCATTATAGCACTTCTATTATGAAATTCATTTTTTTCTACTTTTCGGTTCATATTTTCACTCAAATTTCAGTTCATCTTTTTACTCAGTTGAAATCCAAAACAGATGCACATGTGGTCTTGGTTTTTCAGCCACTGTATAAACGTTTCAGATATGTTTTGTATACATTTAATGGTAACTAAGACATGTATGTCCAACTATTACATTATTCCTGATTTGTTTCAGAGTGCTACTGTGAAGGAGGAGATGACAAACGCATCCCTCTGCTGAGAGATGTGTTTGAAGCTTTTCCAAACACCCCTATAAACATCGACATCAAGGTCAACAATGACACTCTCATCAAGAAGGTTTGTGGGCCCCTGCTGTCCTGCTCATATTTCATTTCCTCGAATCCTCTCTCTGTGCAGCTGCTTGTCACCACTAAAATTAATCAGGTTGGTGAGACGAGTTCACCATAAGCAAAATAGTGTTTTACTTTTTTTCTGTCAGGTGTCCGAGCTGGTTGTGCGATACAACAAGGAGCATTTGACCATCTGGGGAAACTCCAGCAACGAAGTCGTTAAGAAATGTTACAAAGAGGTAATACACTGGTTATTAGTAAACAACATAACTGAACAATAAAGTATGCAAAATGTCAATATCTGACGTTTTTCTATTTGTTTTGTAGAACCCACAAATCCCAATCTTGTTCAGTTTGCCCAGAGTGCTGCTGTTACTCGGTCTTTTCTACACAGGCCTCCTGCCCTTCGTCCCGCTTAAGGAACAATTCCTGGAGATTCCCATGCCTTCAATCATTTCCAAGTGAGGAACATATGCATTTTAGTCATGCATACACTATATGGACAAAAGTATTGGGACACCCCTTTCTAATGAACAAGTTTGACTACTTTATTAATTTCCATGAGTACAAACCTTAATGTTAAAGCATATAATGATATTCTAGGGAATTCTGTGCTTCTAATTTTATAGCAACAGTTTGGACAGGACCCTTTTCTATTCTAACATGACAATGCCTCCGTGTATTAGCAAGGTTAAAAAATAAATGATTGATTGAGTCAGTGTGGAAGAACTTGACTGGTCTGCAGAAAGCCAAGTCCTAATCCCAGCTGAACACCTCTGGTGTGACTTTAAATGCAGACCTTGAGCCAAAATCTCATCACCAAACACCAATGACTTGTAAATATGGGTACAGTCATTTTAGACACTTCCAAAACTGTTGCAACAGAGATGGAAATACAATTTTTAAATACATGAATTATGTTTCCATCTCTGTTGCCACAGTTTTGGAAGTGCCTTTCTCTGTTCTAAAGAAGGGGGTGTCCCAATAATTTTGTCCATATAGTATGTACAAGTCACTGGTGTTTGGTGATGAGTTTTTGGCTCAAATATCTGCATTTAAAGTCACACCAGAGGTGTTCAGCTGGGTGTTACCTTGCCTTGACCACAGAGGCATCATGTTAGAATAGAAAAGGAAAGGAAGGAAAGGACGTGACGTGTGGCCAAGTATGGTGTCCCATACTTGGAATTTGTGCTCTGCATTTAACCTATCCAAGTGCACACACACAGCAGTGAGTACTGAACAAACACGCACACACACCCGGAGCAGTTGGGGGTTTGGTGCCTTGCTCAAGGGTCTCACCTCAGTCGTGGTATTGAAGGTGGAGAGAGCGCTGGTTATTCACTACCCTCCACCCACAATCCCTGCCAGACCTGAGACTCGAACCCGCGACCTTTGGGTTACAAGTCCGACTCTCTATTCATTAGGCCACGACTGCCCTAAAGGTTGCTATAAAATTAGAAGCACATAATTCCCTAGGATATCATTAAATGCTTTAACATTAAGATTTGTACTCATGGATATTACTAAAGTAGTCAAACCTGTTCATTAGAAGGGGGTGTCCCAATACTTTTGGCAATATAGTGTACATGCTCCTATAGTTCCTTTTCTAGTATTTAAAAAAAAATCTTTAGATTTGGTCCTTCGTACATTCAGGCTCAGCAGACTTTGTATGCTCACAAAACGAGTGCTTTGCTAGACATTTTTTGTTGGAAATCTGAGAAGTGATAAAGATTTGGTTTCTCGTAGACTCAAAGATCCTGAGCGTCAGACACGGAGTCAGCGTTTCATAACATGGCTGGCAGACACGTAAGTTTATGTGCACTCTGGCCTCAATAAACCTTTTACCTAAATATTTTCTTAGCACGGTTTATGTGTTTCTTATTGGAAAGTAGTTAACTGCCTTCTTTAGAGTTTTTGCACATTCTGGTCTTAGTGATGAAAATAATTACAAGCATAAAGAAAAGCTTAAGCTTAGCCATGTTACTCTAATACTTGCTAGAGTCGTAAATATACTAGAATTTCGATATGAATGTATTTTCAGGCTCCTCATGAGAAAAGCATTATTTGATCATCTGACGAGCAGAGGAATACAGGTGAGTGCTAATCTCCAAATGAGATTTAGGTCATACACCACTTGTTCTTTATGCTTAAGCATTGCTTTGAGTGCTGTGATGTGCATGAGCAGATGGCAGGAGCTTTGAATGGAATTTCGCTCTTGACTGGAACGTCATCATGGGACTTTTCCACTGGTCTTTGTTTTTTCCTTTCCAACCGCAGGTGTGTGTCTGGGTGTTGAACGACGAGGAGGACTTTAAACGTGCCTTTGACCTTGGGGCTACAGGGATTATGACAGACTATCCCACAAAGCTAAAAGAGTTCATGGAGAAAAAACAACTACACTCTTAAATAAGACTTGTCAGCCAAAGTAAACAATCAATTTGCTTTTCCACTGATCTTTGGCTTCTAAATGGGCCTTTTAATTACCCAACATTCTTTGATGTTTATGTCTATGAGTGTAGAAGTGGCAGCTATCAGTTCTGCATACATCTGCGATCAGCGTCGGAGCCATTTTAAACCAAACAGGTTGTCATGAAATACTTCTGTTGCGTTAAGTTCATAGCAATACATGTTATCCATAAAAAGCAGGAGGATTCATAAGAGGCTGAGGTTATGATGAGTTATCAATCATGTTGGGATGGTGTCATGATCATCATGACATTTCTGTGAAGTTTTCTCTACAGGCACTTTCATTGTATTGTTATTACAATGTGAGGATGTAAATCCCACAGGTACTTGCTGTGCATCAGTTTCTGCAATAACACCGAACTCACTAAAGAGTCAATTGTCTAAATTTCGAGACCGAAGCTACTGAAGTTTTTCCAGGGCACTAAAAATAAATACTAGTTTCAGGGGTGTACTATGGGATTGTTGAGAGACCAATAATCAGAAGGCATTATATATTTTTATGTTTACTCTGTGGTTTGATTTGACGTGTATATTTTGTTTTTGTGAATTTGTTTCTTTTGACAATAAGAGATTGTCACTTTTGAGATAAGTTGTGGCTGAAAAGATGCCTCATTATTGCTTGAAGTGTTAAGTGTAGTTTAATATATATGACCACCAGTCAGAAGTTTTGACACACCAACTCAATCTTCATTGTTACTATGTCAACATTACAATGTATAATATTAAAGAAAGTATGGTAATTATGTACCATTTAAAACATTTTATACATGTGAAAACTCATTTGAGTTGCTTCAAAACTTGTTTCTGCTTTCATTTAATATATACTTCAACTCATAATGATAATAATAATACAATAAATAACAGGTAAAATTAGTAAACAATTTCATGCATAGGCAAACTTAATATTTGTCTTTAAAAGCATCTTCATGTATTCAAGCAATAGCCTTTAGGACAAAAGGTTTTGTTATCATGAAAAACAATGTCAGTCAAGTTTGTCCAAGCTTTTGACTGGTTGTGTATATTATACACTGATGAAAGAAGTTGTGTTTGGAGTGTAACAAGGGTCATAATCAAGTGTAGTGTATAGTGTTCATGTGACATTTGAATATACTTTTGCTAAAACAGGAAAAGGTTTTATCTTTAAAATGCTGGTGGTTTTGCTGTATTGAAAGAGAATGGGTAACAGAAACATTTTCTCACTCTTTTAAGGAAAAACAGAATGCATTCAAAACTGACCTGACAGTAACTCACTCCTGAACAGAATGAATCTTAAGACTTTTAGATAATCAAGCATTTGTGGAGTTCATATGTTTCCCTCTTTTGTGAAGTGTATACAGATACAGTAACTCTTAGCTTTGTGCTGTGTTTAATTTTCTGGTTCATATTTTCTCCAAGCCACTTTCATTGGTTGTGTATGAATTCAGTGCACTGTTTTAGTTGTAAATGATAGTATTGTAATTCAAAGATTAGCTATTATAGATAATATTTGGTATCGGAAGCACAGTTCTGTTTGGATTTGTGAATATACTGCCATTAAATATATTTTATAAGTGAATTTAAACAGACTATGTCTTGCCTTAGTGTTATTATGGGCTCCCATTAAACTCTTTTGGGACTGTGGACTTTTACAGTATCTCTTAATGCACACTTTCCAAATTGTTCCAAAACGCATTTTGACCAGAAGGGGGCGCTCTATGATAATAACTAAAACTTGCTTCAACTACCAACCAAACACGTATGAAATATAAGCACTGTTTGTGAAAGTATCATATCACTTTACACATACACTACGACATAACATAATATAAATAATGTATGCAACATGAAAACGTCTTCAACCGTACATTTAACTACTTGTCATAGATTATGCTGTATGCCTTACTGCTATTTCCTAATGAGTCTAGTGTTTAAGTGTTGAAGTAGTACTTCAAGGTGTTTTAAAAAGTTTAAAATGAAGAATATACTTACATAGTTGTATTTGGTAGGACCTTGAAACGATTTCATCGAAGAATGAACACGATGAAGCAGCTTGTACCTCCAACCCCAAAGTGAAACGTATACTAAACGAACAAATTCGATTTTGACGCCAAGTTCTGCCTAAACTCCGTTAGCGCTGCAGGTAGATACCAGCCTAAATAATGATTGGTTGATATTTTTCACGTTCTGTCCAATCAGCGTAGTGTTGCTATGCCTCTGCGCCTCAGTGATTGGTGGAAGCAGTTGTCATTCGCGTTGTAGGCGATGTACAGTGTGATCGAGCCCAGACTAAACTTGGTTTACATGCACCACGTCCACACTGACCGCGAGAGAAGCGGGAGAGGGAGTTTGTCGTGATAGGAATGCACACGCAAAGTTTACTGTGAATCCTGATTTACTTTCACGGAAGAGGAACGCGTGCCACTATCTCACCACCTCGATTTCTTCTTTTCAAAGGTAAATGCTTGACATTTTAACGAGTTGTTAAATATGAAAGTTTGGTATAGTCATCTGCTTTATGTAAATCACGTTAACTGATATTGACAGTGAGCTGTGTAAGAGCATCAGGTTATGATGGCAGTTTTGCATTATAGTAGTGCTGGAGATGCTGGATGGTGTGATGTGCTGCAGGTCCGCAGTGGTGCTGCTGATGCTTGTTTATCTAACACCTCCACTATCACATCCACCAGCAGCATCAGCATCACTGCAGAAACAGCAGTGGCACATGTATCATCTCTGACAGTGATCTCCTTAATCGTTGTGTCTGCATGACATGTAAGTGCTATCAGTCATAAATGAAGACATTTCTGCATTTAGGGCTGCATTAGTGTGCACTTTATCCAGTCTGCGTCATGTCTGAGTTCTCCTATTTATAAAAAATAGAATATTCAGCATAAAAAGCATAATATTTAATAGACTATTTTACATTTAACATTCAGTAACATTCAATATTAGAATATGTTATAAAATTGTATAGAATATTCAGCATTAAATGGATCATTTAAAAGAACTGAATACAATTTAATATATTTAGATTTTTTTAAAATAAAATTGCAATAGAATATTCAGCATGCACAAAATTGATTATTTAATGGAGTAGAATAACCAAAATATCTGGTATTTAGAATTTTTGATTGAATGTTATCTAATATTTAATACTCAGAAAAAAACATTCAATAGAATATTTAGTATAACTGACCATCACTATAACACTACAATTCATGACCACACATAACACAGATTTTGCACTTTTCGTGGACTTTTTGACTTGTATTATTTTGGCTGTGTTTCAAAACCTTGTAAGCTCTCTAACTAGACAGCATTGATGGGTTTGAATTCATATTACTTTAATGACAGTTATACTGCAGCATTGAGCAGTACGTTGCGTTATCAACCTGTGAAGTTGTGATATTGTAATGTGATGATCACATTTCAACAAGTCTCACATTTTACTGCCTTTTTTAGTGGGAATTCGCTCTGGCATGTTGTATTAGGCTCAAAAATTCATATTAAATGTTGTTTATGGCTCTGTTGTCAGGGGTCAAATTTGAAAGCATGCTTGGGCTGCCATGAGGACACAGTGCAGTAGTGCAGTGTGGCTGAAATCCAGCCCCACATACTGTCTGCTGTCAGTACATGAGGTTTAGTACAGCACAGCACTCAAACAGAGAGTATTACATAAAACAATAATAAGAATTGATTACTGTTTTATATTCAACAAGCTCTCTCGTTCTTACACGATCGAATTCGGAGAGCTTAAATGCTGACAAGTAATTTCTGAAATGCTGTCAAATTCAATCCGGTCTGCAGAGATTACGTTTTTCAATAGTATTTCCTGCAGGTTTTAAGCCATGGTATTATACTGTGACACTCTGTGCATAATAAACTGCATTTATGAATGCAAATACAAGCCATCAGAAAAGGATAATTACAAAAAGCATAACATTTTAATTTTCATGACCCACTCAGGAAATTACAGGGGCTGTATAATCATTTTGCTATGACGTAACATCGTAATTACACAATTTTCCAAAATTATAAAAGTATGGTAGTCGGGGGGGTTATACAAAAAGTATGTTTGACTACTTCTGTCAAAAGTTTGGAGTATACATTTGACAAACACTTTACTATCGCATGAAGCCACAGGAGAGTTGTGAATGGTAGCTGGTAGGTCATGTGACTGATAAAATGATGGAAAATGTATGTCTGGACTTCATTCATGCTACTCATATTTATACTATATAGAACGTTTTTTTAATGGTAGTAAAGTAAGTTTTAAACCTAACGTAGTACCTGCTAGCTAGACAACATGTGACTTTGGACACAGCTTGTGTCTAAAGAGCTAGTTTGACCCAGGGTTGCCAGGTCTGTGAAACAAAATCAGCATAATTGCTATTCAAAACCAGCCCAAAACTAGTCCAATCGCGTTTTTTCTCTGGTTTTCCCCTCCGTCGGTGGTCTTCTCCATCGAAATCACATTCTGAGCGGTCCTCCTCTGTCGAAATAGCTTTCAGGATGATGGGGGAGAGATTGCTTTAAAGTGGACTAAAAAAACAGTTCACGGCAAAAGTGTAAAAATAGCCCAATTCCGTGGTAAAACTGCAGACATGGCAACCCTGGTTTGACCAACTAGCAGTTAGTCAAGGCAAAGGGTAATCAGTCTTACTTTTAGGATTCAAATTAGACCAAAATGCTTTTTTATGTAACTGACATTAAAAAAAAAGCTATGACCATTCTTAAAGAAAAATAATAGAGGACTAACTTGTCTAAGCGGTTCTTACGAAAGGAAAGAGCTATATAAAATTTCTTTAAAATAATGTTGCTCCATGGAAAAAATAACAGCATATGGGTCTACAATGATGTGAGAATTAATAAATTGTGACCAATTTCTTTTCATTTATGGGTGAATTATTCCTTTAAAGAGAATACTTTTTGTACGCAAAGAAAACAAAAATAACGACTTTATTCAACAATTGACGACATGGGGGTAAGTGATTAATGACAAAATTTTCATTTTGGGGTGGAGTAACCCTTTAATGCTCTAATGTTCTTTAGTAGTGTTTGTACTATGTTGAGCATTGCAAACCTGAAAAAACACTCGGAACAGCTTAGATCTGCTTAGAATCTGACTGAATCTTTTGTTTAAATGAGTTCATGCATAAATGAAATTGTCATAATTTACTTGCCCTTATGTTGTTCGTTCTAAACCTGTATGACTTTCTTTATTCAGTGGAAGTGATTTAACTTCAAAATATCTCCTTTTATGTTCCATAAAAGAAATAAAGAGTGACATGATGACAGCATTTCCATTTTGGTGTGAACGATCCCTAAAAACAATTGATAAAATTACTATAAAGCATCTGATAAGCTATGTTGCTTTCCATCCAGCTTGTGTCCAGCTTTGTGATCTGTGGCACAGTTTATGTATTGGTTCAGTGATCAGTATTTGAACTGGTTGTGCCTGAAGGTTCATCAGCATTCATGGATTGGATCAGAGCTCATCTGATGTGTTTTTGTCTGCATGATGAAGCCATACCGAGACTCTCTCGCTTCACTTTTATCGATCTGCCTGTTATGGGAATACAAAACCTGGATTCAGTTTGCAGCTGCGTGAATAAAGAGGAATACAAACACAAAATCCCAAGCTTCACTTTTATCGATCTGCCTGTTATGGGAATACAAAACCTGGATTCAATTTGCAGCTGCGTGAATAAAGAGGAATACAAACACAAAATCCCAAGCAAAGACATGAATAGGTTGGAAAAATCATTCGAGGGCACTAAAAGGTGGATTTGATCATCGAGTCTCAGAGGATAGTTTACATCTACTGATAACCTGATTCCACTTTTACTATAATTTATTGATATTTTCATACAAAACAGCTTATATTTCAGTTTAAATAATATTGAAACGGAACCAGTATTAACTTTGAACAAATAAAAGCCACTAGTCTCTCCCAAAGCTTCTGTGAGAGAAAGAGAAATCCATTATCTCATCTATTATGCATTTATCAGCAGTGTCACAAAATGCATCGTTTGGTCGACAGTAAACTGTAAGAAAACACCACAAGATCTTTCAGCATCGTGTCCTGAGCAAACTCGCGGAGTCCTAAAATACCAGCATGGGTCAGGTGTGGAACTGGGGCGAGAGCGGGTCACCAGAATGCTTGAGGGTTTATTTGTGGATGTGTCGCAGTACGAGTATGCGTTTGTGCCAGCCGACGGTTGTGGGTTTGTGTGGGAAAGAGCTTCGATCTATCAGTAGACTCTTTATTCTCCAAACCCACGCTTTGGCGGGGAAACAATGGACAGAACATAAGAGCGCTTTTTGCTCCAGACTCTTAAGATGGGCTCACCCCTGCCTCAACAAAGCCTTCTGACTGAAGGAGTCATGTAAAAAAAAACAAAAAAACTGGTGCATGCAAACACACTTGCTAACCGATGGACATTCTTAAAGGTGAAGTGTGCAATATCTGCACCACTATTGAACAAAATGGAAAGAGGGTTTGATCGTGCAGAAATGGCCACCATGATGTTAAGTATTTATAAGTATTTAAATATTATTCTATATCTATAGCACACCTTTCAACAATTCACACGATTAAAGGCACAATATGTAAGTTTTTATTAAAATATCCAAAAAGCACTAGAACAGTGTTATATATTTTGCTGACTTGTGTACTTACATTATCCCAAATGTTTCGAAGAATGTTTAAATCCAGAGAAATAAGCAATTTTAACTAGTGACACGGAGCGTGTCCATAGT